TTGTGTCATACTAATGCACAAATGGTATTTAAGTAATAAACATAACAATCAAACTCAATCATTAGTACTTCCTTGGGGTAGTAATGTTTCAAGTCAAAAATGAAATATGTAAAAACTTACCAATACGCCAACAAAAATATGTGCGATCCGATGTGGTTGACTATTGCTGCTTCTACATATAATACTAAACTTGATAATCTTTCTATGAGTTTTTTCATAGTTTCAGATGTATTTCGTTTTCATATTTTTTCACATTACTTTCATAAATCTTTTTGTCGTCTGGGACACTTAGTGCGTACTTTATCTGAATTATCTTTTATCTAAATTATACTATACCATAATTTTTCATTTGGGCTTAGGTTCGGAAATTTCGGCGGCAATTTCATAATTGTAACTACCCCTCCATGTGCTAATATTTCTAAATAGTCCTGACACAATTAAAAGGGAGAACCATAATAAGAGGCCAAATATTAATTGTTTTATGTGATTTTATTTACAGAGAAAAAATAATTTAATATATTTTCTAACTTTGGGAATAGTGTAAATATGTTTTAATGTACATTTGGTAATTCTATCATATCATTTTACACGGAAGTCTTTGAGATATCAGTTGTTCCCTGTGATAAAGTTTCGCCTATGTCCGTTAGTTCTGAGAATTCTGCCGATCATAATTGTTATCTGAAATCAACGAAACTATTTTCCTACATTGTCGGCATTACCTTGAAGAATATTAACTAATCTGCGATCAAAAAAATTGGAAATTGAAACTTCTAGAACTGTTCAAAGAAAAACGATCAATTTTCATCAATTTTTGTGCAGCTCTTTGCAATAAAAAATATACTTTATACAATGGTATAATTTCAATTGTTAGTTCATGATCAAGGCATTAAATAAAGTAAACGTATTTTGGAAACGTAGGTTGGAAACGAATATCGATAAGATGGGATGTGACGTGGGTGAATAAGCCTAAACATCGTGATAACAATAATAATATTTATTACTATTGGGCAGGGTTGCGAGTAATTAATTACTTTTAAAATTAATTTCCGTCTTTAATTGACAATTAATTACAAACAATGTAATTAATAATTATTTAATTAAAATTGAATTAAGCAGAAATAATCGAAAGTCGTTTAATTGACGATTGATATGAGCAAATTTTATCGGAAATATTTAATTGACGATTGCTTTAAGGAAAATTAATTCAAAGCTATTTATTTGACGATTACTTTAAGGCTTAAGCAGAATTAATTCAAAGGCATTTAATTCACGATTACTTTAAGCTGCTTTATGTTTTTAGTATATTACTTTAACTTATACCTATGGTATATATTTGTTTCATTTTGTCGTCATTGAGTAAGAATACACAACTCATTTGGATAAGGTTAATAGTATTTAGTATATTGCATTAGTTTATTTGCATTTAGTTTATTTTTATTATATATATGTTTATTTATATGTGTTACTTATGTAATTAATTGAATTTTATATAAATGTCTTTTAACATTGAAGATATAAACAAACCGTCAATTAAATAGTTTTGAATTAATTCTGCTTAATTCAATTTTAATTAAATAATTATTAATTACATTTATTTAAAATATTTATTAATTAAGTTGATTGCATTAAATTTGTTTAAATCACCTATTTAATTAAAAAATTGTAATTGATTATTATTCAAACCCTGCTATTGGATAGTGCTACTCAGCATATGTGCGTGGCGACTGTTCAATACCTTCTGGTTCACACGTAGCCCAAGCGTTTTGTTATTCCTCCGAGCGATCCGAGGTTCTAGCGATCGTCACTTTTGTTGCCAGGCTAGGCCAATCAGTAGAGCATTTTTGTATTACAAAAATACTAACAGCAAACTGATCGTGCAATTACATAAAAGGGGATGCGTAGAATAATAGGTATATGTTTTTAACTCCACAACTCTGTTCCATATTCTTACTATAAACAATTTAATGCAAAAAATCGTAATTTTTGTTGTTTTTTGTTTACAAATTTTTAACTAATGCAGAAATATCAATGCTCCAACGAGATAAAATGTAGATGATGAAAATACCTACAGAATGAGACCTCGAATGTCTCGATCGGATAGTAAGGAACGGAGAAAAATCGGGAGAACCGGAAAATTCAGAGTTTTTTCCGATATTTATAACTCTGCCATTTTTTGAGCTGAAGCCCTGGACTTTTCGAGATAAATAGCGATTAATGTGTTCTTTATGTGTGCAAAAGACAAAGATTGTCGGATCATTAGTTTTCTCACAATCGCCATCTGAATTTTTCATTGTGCTTTTTGCCAGCGGGCCTGTATGCGTTACCGTAAGACCGATTTTGATTTAAAAAAAAGATTTGAATAGTTGATGTCATGTACTACAAAACGTATATTCTGATTATTCGGTAAAATGTTTGAAAGGATGAGAAAAACCCTTTTAAACTTGACCAAAAACGGCTGAACGCTCAATCACGGTCGAGCGGTGGGCACAGCGGCAGCCAAGGAGATGTAATAAAAGTATATACATAAAGTACATATATTAATAGGCACTCGCTGCGCTCACGTTATTACTATATACATATACCTTTAGTATTTTTGTCACAGAAACGATAATTTAATTCTCTACCGATTAGCTTTGGCCTCGAGTTCGGTCGGACGAAATACATTTCATATGATAACATACACTCAAAAAGGTTTTATTACGTGATAAACAGCTCGTCACAGATTAGTTCTTGAGTTATCATTCCCACGGTTCGAAAAAATGTGATTTCGATAAAAACGCATTTGAAGTTTAGAATTACCGAAACCAAAAAGTTCAAAGTAATAATGAATAATGTAAACTATTTATCGTTTAATCATCGATTCCAGAACCATATAGTAACCATTCCTCTGCTTCATACATATTATTAGCAGCTTGAAGCTCTTCTTTCTGAGCTTCTCAAGCTTCCTTCCGTTCTTCGTCTCCAAAGTTCCTATTCTGACGATTCACGCGCTCGGCGTAATGCAAGCTATGGTCGCGAATTATGATTTTAAGGCCAGAATGGAGATATTTTCGAGCCAAGCGTCAAACGGTCGAGTTAAAGCTTTCGTTTATTATATTATATATTATATAAATATATAATTTGGTTAATTTATTAAAATACAGCATATTAAATACAATGCAACCTTTTCAGAGGCGGCGTAAAATTACAAATTTTTAATTCATAAAGATAATATCAATCAGTTTAATATAAAATCATGTGTTTTTTTTTTAAACTTACAACCTTCTCTTTGAGTAGGATGTTTAGATCTTTGATTAAACTAATCCTCAATTTCAAGATTATAACAGATTTTGTATAAGGTTTTTTAAACAAATATTCGCCGATTTAAATTAATAGATTCACTCCTGGACAAGTGTACAGTATACATGGTTAACCACGTGTATCTATGTTTGAATCCATGTACTTTTTAATACACGGATATTTACTAATACATAGATTAATCCTTAATAGCATTCTATAAAATGTACAAAAACTCAATGAAGTTCTCAAAATCATTTTATTACGACTTTTAACATTTTCATATTTTTAATTTAGTATTTGTTGATGAAATATTAAATTAATTGAAATATTTTAGTAAATTCTGCTATTAAAATTTGTGGATACATGTGTACTAGAATCCGTGTATTATGTAGGCATTTAAAAAAAATGCACTGTAATTACATGTGTATTTTACATATACGTGTAATCGGAACCACTAGACTTTTAACCTTTTGTCTTGTGGCGAGCGATTATAGTCGTCCATCGCATCAAAATGGTTAGGGGGGTATTATCGTCTAGAAACTTCAAAAATTCGATTTCTTTTCTTGCATTTTCTTATCATTTGGGGTTTTGAGAAAGTGCCTCTAAAATGTTAATTTGAAATTCGTAGAGCTCTCATAGTTACAGAGGCTTAAAGGCTGTTCACCAGTATTAGTGCTAAATGTATAGCAAACTTTAAACGCATTTTTCTCGGAACGACATTTTTCAAGTCGGGTGCACGTTTTTCTCAAAAACTATTGGACCGACTGACTCCTGGTTTTACACACATTTCGAGGGCACCATCACCTATGGTCTGAACTAGAATTATACCGATAGCTTGAATATTTTAGCCCTGCTCTCATGTTTTAGTTGACAATTTTCCGGGAAAATTAAACCTTAATTTTCAAACAACTGCGATTCCGATAAAAAATTTAGTACTTACTTAATTCTAGTTCGGACGATAACTACAATCATATAGATTGAAAAAACAAAATTTGTTTTTCTGTCTCAGACGACTAGAACCGCCATAGCCTGTGCGCCCGATTGAACGAGAGTCTTACGCCACAACCTGCATAACAGCGCATAACTTGTATAGATTTCAATGAAGTATTTCATGAAAATTTGTGTTGTTAGTTTAAACGTATTTTATTATGCATAAAAAAACCCTGGTACTGTAGGTTTGATAGCTTTCGCAAAATTAATTCCTAAAAATTACTGAAAAAACAAACATCTAGACGATAATACCCCCTTAATGCCTGACAGCCAGACACCGACTATTCCCGACAGCAAAAGCTGTCTGACCATGATAAGTTCAATCTACTAGCACGACATGACGCGCTGTACCGTAAACACGTACGCAAGCCAATTATCACATTCTCTTATCGTCGGTCGATAAGAATGCAATCTACGGAAACGTAATATTCTCGGAGCTGAAACGACAGTCGATAGTCATGGTGCAATTGCGACACATCTCCCTAACGCAACACCGATGCCACTGGTATCGTTGCATCGTCGGTGCACGATCTCAGGTGCCGTTGTCGCGCTCCCTCAAAAATAACGATCCAATAGGAAGCGTGTAAACAATGGCTGAACGGCGCCGGATTGGCAGCGCTGTCGCCAAGTCGACTGCGCGCGGCCAATCCCGGGCCCCCGATTCTGGCTACAGGGGAATGTGCATTGGTCGTCCTTTCCCCCCACTACCAGTGACGGCGGCACGGCTCATGTTCAGTAGACTCGGCCATTTCTCTTACGAAGCGTAGCAACTCGTTCGGCCGCGACATTTTTTTCCCACTGACGACCGTGCGGGTATTCCCGGAAGCTTTGCAAAATAACGCGACGCAAAAGGATGATACACTCCGGGCGCACCAGGCTCGAGGTAAGTCAACGCCATCATATGACAGTAAAACGACGGGGCTGTCTCCGACTGTGGAAACGCGCGTCAAAGTTACCACACAAGGGGGGGTTCGTGCGTGTGTCCAATGTTGTCATTGCCGAGGCGAACAGCTGATCCGCTCCCCTGGCCACCGTGATGCTTGGCAACGATTACTCGCCTGTATCACAGCCTCCTGCCGCGACAACGAACAACAAAAGCCAACGGCGGACTCGGTTTCGACGGTGTCTCGTCGAAACGGGACAGTTATAAAGGCTTCTTACATTTTGATCGCTACCATTCCACCGTGTCTCTCTCTCTCTCTCTCTCTCTCTCTCTCTCTCTCTCTCTCTCTCT